TGACCATGCATACCCCTGACCATACATACCTATGACCATGCATACCCATGATCATGCATACCTATGACCATGCATACCCATGACCATGCATACCCATAGTTTAGCTCCCATTTTTTTAACTGGGTTCCCATTTGTCTTTTTATTAGTGAGCTGTAAGAGTTCCTTATATATTCCTTATATAAACTCCTTATCAGATGTATGATTTGCAAGTATTCTCTCATTCTGTGGGTTGTATTTTCTACCTGAATTCTTAAAATCACTGAATATAGTTGATTCTTCCTTCTAATCTGAGACACATTTTTCCCCTTGTCTTTGGTGACAACACCATCAACCTCCCCTAATTTTTCTCCCAGGTTTTTTTACTCCTTTTTTATACTCACTACCAATCTTTTTTGAAACTTTAAATGTTATACAATCCTAGGGCTTTATGCTAAGATATTATTATTTCTCATGCTATGTACCCTCTTTATTCATGTCCAAGCCTTCAATTGTATTATTTCTTCAATTTTTACTTTGGTCTTAGATTCTCTTCTTAGTCCCAACTTACAGACAAGTGCATTCCCTGCACTTTTACTTGAATGTCTCATAGCAATTTCAAATTCAGCATATTCAAACTTGAATTCTTGGTCTTCTATTGTAGACTTACCAACCACTGCTGTCATCTTTGCCATTTCAATAGCTGTGTGACCTTAGGTAAGTTCCTTAACTTCTCTAAGTCTCAGTAAAATGTGGAAAATAATAGTTCTTAATGCTTAGGTTTTGGCAAGGAGTCAATGAGTTAGTATATGGAGGGTTCTTAGAATAGTCCCTGGTGCATATAATGCCTGATACCTCTGTCTCCCTTCCTCATTTATCTAATCAATCACCAGTGGCACATATTCCACCTTCTGGAACCGGTCTGCTTTTCCTTGCCCTTACTTCTTCTACTGTGGTCAAGATTACCATAATTTCCTGTATCGCTGAAATAACTTCCAAATTTGTGTATCGGTATTCACTTGTACCCCTCTCTGAGTCATTCTCCACCCAACTCCTAGAGTAGCATTTCTCAAACTCAGTCTGTACATAGACCACATTTAAAGAAAAGGAACTCTCAAGGGACACAGTCTGAATTATATTGTCTTAAGACTTTTCATCTATGAAAATGGAAATTTTGAATTTTCTTTGCAACAGAGATATGTTGTTATCACGCTGATGTTTTAAAAAAAACATTTAAAATCCTCATTCCTGGTTAAACCCTTGAAGGCTTCCATTCCAGACTTTAAATGGGATCTCTAAGAACCTGTAACTTCTGGCCCTTTTCTACCTCTCAAGTGTTATCTCACTGTCTTATACATTGTGCTATAGCCTCAGCTTTTCAGTTCTTCTAATATGCAAGTTCCTTCCTGCCATAGGGCTTTTGCATATGTGGTTTTCCTCTCCTGTGTTCTTGCTTTCAGATGGTGCTGCTTTCTGCCCTCTTTCAGCTTAAATGCTACTTCCTCAGGGATGCTCTCTTTGCACTCTCAGACCTGGTTATCCCCCGCTGTCAGCCACTCTCTTGATACTCTGTACTTTGCTTTGCAGCACTTATAAGAATTGTAATTACCCTTTTTGTAGCATTATTTCTTGACTGTGCATGTTTAATGTTTGTCTCCCTGCCAGTCTGTGAGTTCCTCAAAGGCAAGGATAAGTCTTTCTTGTTCATTGTTGTGTCCCACCCTGCACCAAGCACCATGCATCATGCCTATTACATAAGAGGTCATCAGATATTTGTGGAAAGGACCCTCACATCATTAAGCCAAATGATAAATTAATAATGTGTATTGGTAGATAATCCCATTGGATAAATATTAGAAATTTATACTGGAACAAACTGGAAAAAAAA